CAATGCACCGAGACCAGCAAGATTAAATTTGACAGGTATATTTTTATGGCCCTATTTACCGGTGCTAAAGCCAGTGATTGATGTCTCAGATTGAGTCAGTGTGGGCTAGGATAACTTATATGTAACTCTGGCATTTTAATTGATGATGTGGAATTAGCAGGGTGATTTATGTACCCATGAAGACGTCACTCTCGGAATGTGTGGTTAGAAATCTAAAAGAATGGAAGTCTTGCTTCCATGTGACTCTGGATGATGCGATTAGAACGGAAGTATTGTGTGTAGCTCCGAGCACCTCATCTAGGAGGAACTTCTGGTTTTCCTGGTGTGCGTGATGGGAGGAAATTTGTCTGGATTGTGGGAGCTTTCAAACGCTTCTCCTACAGCTGGGAGGATCTGAGTTTTGTGACCAGGGTTAGGTTTGGGGAGGAAGGAAGGATGTAGCTCTTTACAAATACCTGAAAGCTCATCTGGTGGAAGGAGGATTGCATTGTTCTGTCTAGGGAGGCAGAATTTGCTGACAGTGGCCTTGCCCAGAGGTGCCAGGAGCTCCCTAGAGAGCTGGTGAGTTTCCTGGCCCCCGCCAGCAGGAAACCACTTAGAAGACTGTTAAGCTCAAGTAGGTTATAAGCCAAGAAGATCTTTAAATTCCTTTCAAGCCTGGGACTTAACTAATGGATTTGTTTTTCCCAAGATAAAATACCATTTACCTCTCAGGGCCTCACTCATAACTTTTTTTATAATAATGGATTTGAAGCACATGAAAGTTACATGCCTCACCCTGGGAAAATGCACCTCAGCTGGGGGTTGGCACAGTTGGTTGACCTATTTGCATATTTTGTCTAATCGCATACAGCTTTGTATTGTGAGTTTGAACTTTTATGATGATGTTTTATATTTGGGAGAAACGTTTGCCTTAAAGAAAACTTTGGGTTGAAATCCAGATCTGGAAAGAAACTCTTGTTTGTATTTACTTTATGACTGTCTCCTGGCAGGATGATGGAACTGAGGGCGAGGGGGAGGCGTGAAGCCCCCCCCCCATAGGGAGGAAAACACACAGGAAACACGACGACCTCCTGGACATAATTTTATTCTATATATTTGAAAGAGGTCATTAAAATGTGCTTTCCCTGTTTCGTGTGTACTTTCTTTCTTTCTTGGTTTCTGGTCTTCCCTTCCTCCGTCCCTCCCTCCCTCTCTCCCTTTGTCAGGGTGACACTCTGTCACCCTGACTGGAGTGCAGTGGCACAATCATCGTTTACTGCAGCCTCGATCTCCTGGGCTCAGGCAATCCTCCTGTTACAGCCTCCCAAATAGCTGGGACTACAAGTACACACCACCACACTCAGTTAATTTTTTGATTTTTTTGTAGAAATGAGGTCTCACTATGTGGCCGAGGCTGGTCTCAAATTCAAGCAATCCTCCCACCTCAGTCTCCCAAAGTGCTGGAATTACAAATGTGAACCACCACCCCTGGCCTTGGTTTTACTTTTCCTATTCTTGTTCTTACCATGGTGCCTTTTCCTTTTGTTCTCCCTGCGTGGTCTGCACGATTTTATCGATGGGCGACTTCTCTTTTTTACAGCTTCTACTATCTGTCTCTATCCTGGCTATGCCACTTCTGAGCTGTGTGACTTTGAGAATGTCACCTTCTTTGTGCTTTCATTGTCTAACCTGGAGGTGAAAAAAAAGAAAACAAGAGTATATAAAGACTTATCTCTGCTATAAGTACTAAGTAGCCTGACTTTCATTGAAATTAAATATTAAGAGTTATAATTATATTATTATAATTTAAAATTAAAATTTTCAAATTTGTATATCTGCCGAGCTTAATTCCTGGTGCCTAGGAGATTCCAGCTTTCTTTCCATCCCCTTTCCAATGAGAACCAGTTATTGTTTACTGACAAAAATACAGGACATTTATGATATAATTCTTTGAAAATTAAAATATATTTTTAAAAAATTTGTAAATTTTTTTATTTAAAAAATTTTTATTATAAAGATGTGGGGTACAATTCAGGGTTAGGTATATAAACATTGATCATGCAGGTACCCTTGTTGATGAGGTATGCCTCTCCTGCCCCAAGCAGTTTCCCTCAATTATACAGCCATAAAGAAGGACAAATATGTGGACTTTGCAGCAACTTGGATGGCTTTGGAGTCAATCATACATTTTTTTTTTTTATAGCAAGGCACCAATTTTTCACCTCACTATCACTTTCTGGCAAGTATGTTGTGGGTTATGGTTTATGATGATCTATTTTTGTTCATCACTTCTGAGCAGAGCTTTCTTCTCCCAGTTTCAACCATTCAGACCTAAGAGGGTTCTTGACTCACAGAGCATCAGAGGCACTTTCCTTCTGTGGACGGCCAAGATTTGTGGAATCTCTCACTCTTCTTGACTTTCTGGAACTCCTTTTTTCTGACCCAGAGAGCACAGCATTCTTTTAAACAGTTGTCTTACTGATTTTCCATGTGTTGTGCACCCGTACCCAGAGGATATGTATGTTTTCACTTTTAAAATTGAAGAAAGAAAGAAAGAAGGGTTTCTTGAGAACCCCCTTTGTGTCAGGAAGCCAAGGCTGGGATCAGGGTATCAGCATCTGACTGAGGGGTATGTTGGTATCAGGCTGCACCCAAGGGTGCAACTGGCTTCCCGAAGGCAGAGCTGAGAGGAGAAGATGGAGAAGGAGAAAGGGAATGCGGGAGTGAGGAGGCTGAGGATAACGAGTGGGCCCAGGAAAGAACAGAAGAGCGGGAAGTCAGGAAAATGGAAAGCACATATGCACATGTCTGCTTGTGTGCGTTTTTTCCATAATCATGCAAACACGGGGAAAGATATGGAAAGACTGAGGCCAGGTGTTAATGTGTCTTGGGGTCTGGGGAAGAAGGGGCAAACAACAGCAACAACAACAACAAAACAACAGACAAAACACCAGCATACAGGCAATGTTCTTACTTATGTCAAAAAAATACAGACGTGTAAATGCAAAAGAAATGAAAGACAAAGAGGGCTTTGGCCAGTTTCCCTCTTGCCTGACACCCATTTATTTTTCTTGGCTGAATCATTTGAGAGTAAGTTATAGAAATCATGTCATGCAACCCCTAAATTCTAAAGTATGTGCATGCGAAGAGCAAAGACAATCTCTGCATAAACCAAGTACTGTTACACAACCAAGAAGGTCAATATCTAGAAGATATTAACCGTATCTAGTCTATGGTCCACATTTAGATCTCTAAACATCCCAATAATATTCTTTGCATTTTTATTTTTTTAAATCCAGGATCTATTGGCCTTCTGGGGGGCCAGTTAGGCCAGATATTTTGTAAACTATTTCTCAATGTAAACTTGTCTGACTGTTTCCTCATGATTACATTCAGATTGAACACTGAATGCTACTTAGGAGGTGGGAGACACAGAGAGCTACCCAACCAAGGATATGTGACGTCAGTTCTCATTATTGATGATGTTTAATTTCATCCCTTGCTTAAGGTGGTATTCCCCCAGATCTCTCTATTGTAAAGATAAAATTTTCCTTTTGTAAGCAATAAAGTCATCTGGGGGATGATGCTTTAAGATTCTGTGAATTTCTTGTTCCCCAACAATCTTTTACCCAATGGTTTTACCTTTGACATCCCTTGCCCAAAATAATTATTACTCTGGCGATTTATAAAATAGCAATTTTTTTCAAATTCTGTAATTTTTTCTATGTTAGTTGACATTCTTCTGTGAAGAAGAGCCTTCCTTTCTCCTCAGTTCTTTTACAATCTGTATCAGTACAGACTTGAGGGTTTTAATATTTAAATTTAAGATGTAATATGCATCTATCACCCACTTTTAGTATACCTTGTTTTGATGTTTCCATTTTTCCATATATGGCCAGCAGGAGTACCATCAGAAAGATTTTTGATAAGAACATTGAGTGAATGAAATAACATAATAGTATGGAAGTAGGTGAATACATTATGTTTACTATGGTTTTTTTTTCTCTCAAGAAGCTCTATTTGTCAATGTCACATGAATGTATGTTTATTTCTCTGTAGGTCTTCTGGACTAATTGGCTCTCCTTCAGCAGGAGCCTCACAGATAAGTCATCCTGCTGTATTTCAAGACAAGGCTGGGTTCTTAACACTGCTCTGAAAATGATTAAAGCGGTGTTGCAACGTGACACTGTCAGGGGAGGACACACAGCTTGAGAAGTTCCTCTTAATCAAATTGCAGCTTGAAGGCAGCCTCTTTTCATTAAGCAGGACTGCATGGCATGCAGCTTCCACTGAAGGGTTGACAATGAGC